CCTTGATGTTCGGGATAAGGACCGGGCGTTGGGTACATGGTAGCCTTCGGCTGACCAGCCATCATAGGCTGTGTAGAAGACTGAGACATGGACATAGCTCTGAAGCTATCCTGCCCTGACGCGACATCGTATTCCGATCGTCCGGCTTCATAGGACTGGCCTTCCGTCGGCGAGCCTTCATACTGCCCATTGGGTCTCACACAGTGGAGCTTCAACCGGATACAAGCAGAACAGGGCCATGTATTTGTCGTCGCAGCATCACATTTGATTTTTCTCCTCCTGCAACCCTCACACGCTCTCATCACTAAACATTAGTAGTTCTATTAGCTACGATTCTTTCAGTATAATGTCAACACACGACGATGCCCATACCCTTCAACCGCTTATGGCGGTTATGCTCGTCCACAAATACATAATCTACAAATTAAGCGGTTAGAACATAGACGCTACACGGTTACGGGCATACTCATAGGGCGCACTTTTTTGAGTCTCTCTAGGTGGCTGATAAGTCGGCGGCGCAAAGGAAAACGAGTTCAAGGATGAGTTAGAGCTCTGCGGTAACAGCCTCCGAACGGACTGATCGTTATTCGACATGACTTGCTTCGCCTCTCGGCGGGTGCTGAACCCTCACGGCCGGGTCCAACAAACTATGATCCTCCCGGTTTAATAATTGACCATTGGCTCGTCTCGAAAACGTATGGAGTTGGATCGCTGTGGCTGGTCGATCGCTAGTATTCAGTAAGGGTTTAGCTGAGCGCCGGCACAGCGGATTAGTTACAAGCAAAAGCAAAAGCAAAACCAAGCAAGCAAGCAAGCAAGCAGGCGAGGCGAGGCGAGGCGAGGCAAGACAAGGCAAGGCGGAGGGAAGGAGTTTAAGGTGACCTAAGTACAGCTTAACGGTATTAGAAATATCGGCAGGCTGCACGTAAAAAGGATGTTTAAGGTTAAGGACGTTAAGGGCCTACGAGGTACTGCGGTACTGCAGTTGCAGTTGTGCAGTGGGAGGGAGGCGGGACGGGTCATGGATGCCAGGCAGTGGGCTCCATGAAAATGGTCCTTTTTTTTTTTTGCTTTTCGAAGGAAAGACCCGGTATTCAGGTAGGTGAGGGGATAACCATGCGTCGCCATGAGTCCAGCAAAGTCCAGCGGAAAGAACGCCAGGACCCAAAAAACGGGGGCATATGGGCAATATGCTTGTACACTACTCGCTGCATTGTAACTAATTGGTGTGGTGTAATGGGGAATGGGTACACTGCACGACTGAGTACATGTAGTATACATGTACCAGTTGACCATGCTTGCCATGGACTTGCATGGAGTCGAGAGGGGCCGAAAGGTGCGAAGGGGGGGTGGTTCCTTGTGGAGCCCCCCCTGCTTTACTTGCCTTCCTTGCCTTCTTTGCCTTCCTTGTCTTCGCGTGGTTCCTGCCGGCCCCAATATGAGCCTGCTTACAGATTACGTACCTGTACTTACCTAAATTCCTATAGATACATGTACATCTTATTCTACATACCTTCCATTTCTATAGATAATTGTGTAACCTGAACTGGGATTTGTAAGAACTTTACTCAATACCTTTTTTGTAAAATAATTATAATATTAGTTAGCCTATTCTAATCGGTGACTTAAAAATCTGTTTACTTATTTACAAGAGTCCCATTGACAATAAAGTAAAGAAACATCGGCAATGTTTATATTAAGATCTTCTGCGCGCAGTTCGGTATATACAGCGCATAAAGCTTGGTCTTTTCTCGACAATTTAGACATCCTCGGTTGGATATATTGTGGTGGTTAATCAATCTAAAGATCGATCTCTAGCTTTAATGGTTCGCAGGATTCAGAGTGCTGGTGCGGGCTAATACCGCGCTTCAACACATGTACCGTATCATCGATAGCTCGGTTCCGTTCTCGTACATAACCTAGCTCACATTAGTGCACCAGGCCAGGAGTTTATTACCTAGCAGCAGCCAGCAGCCAGCAGCCTACTCTGTAGGTGCCAGGAAAATCGATGCCATTCGGCCGGGAGTCGAAGCAGACACCAGCTCCTTACACTTGTGTGTGCACGGAACAAGTCTAGAAGATGCGCGCCGAGTGTCCACCGTCCTATGTAAGAGGCTAGGCATTTGCCGTCAGAAACTCTCCACCTGTTATCGTCTCACATTAGGCGCTATTAGAGAATTAGAAAACACGGCAACTGTCACACGATGCGCCACCTCAGCATACTATGTAGGATACAGGGTACTTTGTTACTGCAGTAGGTCACCGATGGTATTAACAGGCCCGATATAGGGTTGAAACGTTTTAAGGAGAACCAAGCGCATTAGATGTCAATTCTAGCTCTCCCATACGAGAGGTACCTACGGTACTCGAGTAAGGTGTCGTGGCAAGTCAATAGCCGCCGAGGCTGCAATAATAATGATAATAGTAAGTGACCTACATAACATGATAGCATGTCAAATCATGTGTATGCGTTCCTGGGAGGGGAATAGGGCTGCGAGGTGCATAACCTACATACATACTGCGGACGTTCATCATACATACCTCGACGTAATGGTGGCTGCCAATGCCCATGCCGCTCCGAACGAACATGTATGTGAGCCTACTTCTGAACCAGATCAGGGGCATGCACTTACATGCTGCCGACGTGCGTGGAGTCGTGGACAGCCAACCGGCAAACATCTCGGGATCTTTTCTAGCGCCTACAATCACAGCGACGCCGAACCCAATCACCAGGTACCTCTTCAAAGTTCACCTTCACCTGCGATAGACACGATCTTTTAGTTTTAGAATCGTCTCCTTTTCCCATTAGTATGCAAATTAGCCCCCTGCAGACCGTCCCTGTTCGCATGTCGACGGTCCTGGTATTATTAACTGGGGGACTAGCGGTCAGGTCTGCATGCGCCAACGCCTATGTACTAGGGGAGCTCTCGCGTGTCTCCCAACTCCAACGAGTACGTAGGCTGGCTGGGGAAAGAGAGTTGCAAACGTGTGGAAGCCACCTGAGCGAGCACTTGCATCTGCATTGCAGGAGGCAATAGGAGCGGTTATATAAACGATTCACAATGTAAAGGACTACTATCCTTGAAGCGATAATTGGTCGTCGTCAGCCATCTTCGCTTACCCGCGTTCCCCCGTCTTGTTGTCACGCAAGGCTCACTAATCAGAGATCAGAGACCCCTTTTTTCCCACAATACGGTACACCATCTGTACGTCGTATTACTCATGCCAGTTGAACCCTAAACCTAATAGACTGATAGATGACACCGTCGTGATGGGATTGATCATTGATCATTGATCTACCTACCTACGTAGTGTATGTATACAGGTACAGTAGGTAGACAGGAGGTAGGGATTCAACTGCCCGAAGACCCGAGACATCCTAGTTGCTGCCAGGTAGATTGTTCCCCCACTGGGGTCTGTCCAATCAACGAGCTTCTACGTTCCAACCTTACCGAAGGAGGATTAGGACTATGAGACTAATTGATTTGTGATAATATAGTCATCAATAATCGTGGTTCACTAGATCGTCCCCTAGGTACAAAAAAGTACACCGTCGCATTCGCAAATCGATAGGCGCAAGCTGTGTCACTCCTTGTGCGTTGCAGTTATGGGTTACGAACGGCAGCGAGGGCCTCACGCTTGAGTACTGCATAGCAGATATATGAACTAAATATAGGTTTAATCGACCACCGCATGATATAATTTCGACCCGGTGATAAGGGTTCACGGCGAATCTCGCTGAAAGATGCGCAGCGGATCTCGGGGTAGGCATAAATACGGGATATTGGCAGGGCTGAAGGATCAAGAAATAGTTGCTTCTTATATTAAAAGAGCAGCACATAGCACGTGCCGAGTACTTGGGACGGCTAGTTCCGTACGATGGCAGACTTTCCCGATCGAGTCTAAGAAATGCCGTTATTTACCTCTTTCCGGTAAACTTGACCGGAGCATGCGACATATTCGGACTGTCTATTTATTCACCTGTAGATCGTCAGGCACGGTGGTCTGGATCTGAGAACGGGAACGGTGAACAGGCCCAGATCGAGAACGCTCCGTGTGCCTGACAGCTTAGATGCTAGGTTAGATAATTAACCTAGCTTCAGCTGAAGTGAGATTGAAAAGAAGAAGAAGAGGAGAAAAAAACCCCTAAAAAAACTATAAGTATGATGACCCGCATAACATACGGCTTTTTCCCGGGACTATGGCGCCGCCTCTCGCCATCCGCCATACATATGTACATGAAAGTTCCCAGCTAGAAAGAGGGAAAGGTCAATGTCCGATGATATCACCGATAGCACAACTTGTGGATATGACGACGACGGAGTCTTGCTAAATTTATTGCGCATGAATTTCGAGTCAGTGAAACAGCCGCAGCTCGTTGCAACGGTTGTATCACATATCCGGCACCGTACCCGCCGAGTCTACCCCCCCTTGCATCTAGCCCTGAGGAAATCTGTCGCGTTGCATCTACATAGTAGGTATTCGCGTCAAATATCAAAGACTCTCAAATTCAGGGGGCAGATGACCGGTCGAATATCTGGAGAAGAGGAATGTCGTATGGTGTACATATATTTATAGAATTGGTTAAGGTTGTCTAGTTATTGTATTGTATTGTATTATATTGTAATGAGCGGTAAATTCCGTTGGGGACGGTAAATACATTTTGAATATGGTCCGAATAGAACCGCTAATTATTAATCTTTTGATATGTTAGGTAGTATCAGTACATCCTAGCTTGCCTGCCCCTTGCCTTAGGTACGTAATGTAGGGACTCCCCAGAATACTACGCTAAAAGTTGCTCAACCCTTTTTTTTGGTCAGCGACCAATGATATACGGTATAATTGAAGTTACTAGCTTACGAGAGAGACAATATCCAATTAGGTACTGATTTGATAAGATCGATAAGATAACCCATCGGGTTAATGGTATCCCGCGTAAGCCCCACCGCGTAAGCATCGCATTCGCCATAGGTACTAGAAGTCCCACAATTACTGATTACATCAATTTGATCACTACAACGAACAAAGCCGTAGGGTCATACACATCTTTCACCAAATAATCCTTGCCACAACAACCTTTCACAAATTTCGCATCATTGTGCATTATATAATATTATATCAGACTATTCGTATTGGTTAGTCGGGCTCAAGTCACATAACTACCAAACGTGAAACCATTCCTCATTACTATTCACGCCTATCAAGATGGAAAAGGACAATGCCAATCCTACTATCCTAAACACTTCGCAGCTTCCGACAAGACAACGTAAAAAGGGACGCAAAGTTCAAAGAAATGACGTGGCCAAAATCAGCAACATCATGCGAAAGCCACAATATCTATCAGATCCCTTCTACGACATCTCATGGTCTGACGACACAGAGAGCGATGACGAGTTCACTGCAGAACCCATTGACGAACAGGAAGTATACGGTAAGACAGCCCTACGCAGTATATAGGTCTACGGTTCAGTTAGAAGATGGGATGACGCGGAGTTACTTGGATCATCATTATTGCCTTTCTCATCTTTCACATACATAGTATGGCATATTTTGGATGTCAATTCTTATCGCCCCCACGCCCAGATGTTCCAGATATTCTACCCTGAAACCCATGATATGAAAACCCATGATATGACATGGTCTTGCTCAAACATAGAAAAAGCTACTCTACTTGATCTAGCGGCTGACATTTCTTAGATCTGATATCGACCATCTCTGACCCTGAACATCCACTTTCCTTAGGCCAACTAGCGGTGGTTAATTTGCCTGACATTCATATAACACCGTCTCCATCAGCAGGTGCGGATCCCAATACTTTGACGCGTGTCTTGGTCGAGATCACCCCTACAATTACCCACTGTTCACTGGCAACCGTTATCGGCCTCGGTGTACGAGTACGTCTAGAACAGGCTCTGCCTCCCAACTACCGAGTGGATATCGTGATCAAAGAGGGAACTCACAGCCAGGACGACCAGGTAAACAAGCAACTAGCCGACAAGGAAAGGGTTGCCGCAGCCTTAGAGAATGACACCCTTAGGGGTGTCCTAGACAAGATGCTGGAGACTTGCCTATGAAAATACATTTCATAGCTAGGTACCTATCTAATGTTGACATAGCTCATGGACGATGAAGATGATTCTTGAGCGATTTATTAAATATGTATCGCTACAAAAGTAACGATGGCATCTACAACATCCCGCGTTTTTGGTCGAATTTTTGAAGTCGGCATCTGAACTACCCAAAAGGGACGACCGGTGCATGAAAACCGGCCTATCAGCTGCTTGGATGTCAAGAAACCGGGCTCTGCCTGCCGTGACATGCTCGAAGGCGACAGCTAGAGTAGAAAGATCCACACCGGCTTCGAACCCGGCCTAATCACCAAGCCACTACCGGTCATGCGTGGGACAGACTCGGCGGTGAACCTGTAGACTTCCTGCGGATATAGAGCGATCTATTCGCCATTAGGCATTTTAGTTAGCCGACAACGATGTCCAGCAAATACTGAGTCTACATACAAGGCCCTTAGTCGAGCCCTTAATATTCAAGTTATGATAATCGCTTCAAAATATAAACAATTCGCCTTGCAGATATGTTGTTTAAGTCAAGTGTAGAAGTCCTGATGGATTTTCCATTGCATTTTTTAGCGCAACATTGGCACAATCTACTTCTCATACTTTGATAATAGCTTTCAACCTGGATTTCTCAGAATCTTATTGTCATAGCCGCAGATATTCTCAAGGAGTCGGCTAATAAGGCAACTAACTTCAAATAAGCTATAATTACCTACGTATGGCTAAAAATGTTTTAAGCCGGTTTAACCTTGTCGCCCTAAAGACGATTAGATCATAGGTGAATCACGTTAAGATCAGCGATTCCAACCTTGGTTTTCGCAACCGGGGAAACTTCGTATTCGCCCTAACCTAGTGTGGACCCTCCATTAAATTCCGGCATGGGGATACACGAGATGAAGCTGTCATGTTCGGCGCGAAGGGGGCGCTTAAGACCGATTTGGTCGTAGGTGAAGGGTTATGCTTAAATCTACGTCGTATAAACTCGTGTGGTAGTTAAATGAAAAGAGGGTTTGGCTATTCGGGACTTAAATGCTTATGTGGTTTATTAATAGTAACTATACGTTATAGACTGGTTAGTTAATAACCAGTTTTGATGTCTATCTCGTTGCTACGGAACTTACATACACTATAGACTTGGGTATATGGGCAGAACGCCCGTAGGAAAGAAACACTGACTTGGGGTTCTCTACATCTATGCTCTGGCTTTAAGCAGGCTTCTAATATCAGTTTACCCAAGTAGGTAGTTAGTTGGGCTTTCTTCAAGGTCACCAGTTACCACTGTTCTCTTCGGCCCCCCTCTTGTTCGTGCCCCCTTTTTCACTCGCTCCCACTATAGCTATTACTATTACTACTTCCATAACGTCTCATGCATCGATGTCAGTAGTGCGGGCAACTGTATAGCTACTTCTCCTAACTATACATAGAAGGAGATATACCTGCAAGAGCTCCTGTCAAGTTAAGTTGACCTTGTCTACTAGTTACCGGCAGGCGGATGAGATCCGGAGCTGCCGGGTCTCCTTGATATGTAGGTATCTTGTCAACTCGACGAACTGGATAGTAAGCTTCATATAGAATCTTGCATGCTTCGAGTCTTATAATGGAGGGTAATAGTAAAGAATGGCTGTACCGGGTTTCGATTTAAGGGCAGGGTGTCATGGTATGCGAACATCTTGCTTCTCTGTACACATGGTGACAGTAGTGGAAGGACATCTGCTCGCTTTCGTATATTGAAAATATCAAATCTATTGGAATATGTCCTCTCGTCCTCAGCCATGCGTGCTTGAAACTCCCGTGATTCACTACCGACTGCTATCTCATAACTCACTTACTAGTTGGACAGCTCGGCTGGTTGACGATGTTGTAACTCGGAATCCTCGGATTACGATGCGACCCTCTATAGCTGAAGGAGACTAAAGAATATAGGGGGAATAGCATGCCATAGCACCTAACTCAGTTGAGTGAGTTACTCGAGACTAACAGCTCCTAGGGAATACATCTTCTTTGACGTCTTCTGCCCGGAATCCTTCCGCACTACCGTAGTTCATATACATGCGGCTAATATTGATAACACATAGTTCAACTCAACCATATCCTCACGTTCATCAACACTGTAGCTTCTACTGAAGACAATAGGAATGTTTTCACTCCTAATACTCACTTTACTGACGTGATCTTGCTACCATCTCGATTCAACACAAGCCCTCTCTCCCTGTACACTAGAAAATACTATCACATACATACATACATACATACATACATCTATCTAGACTAGACTAGACTAGACTTGTCATTCCTCACTCTCCAATACCATTACCAATACCGTCGTAACAGAACCCTCAAGGCCCCCTATTAACCAGCGAATAGCAACAGCCCTCGGCTCCTGTAACAACGCACGGCGTATGAAAAAAAGAAAAAAAAAAAAAACCGCCAAAAATGGAACCGTGAGAGAAAGGGGGAGACCTATCACCCATATGCATGCAAACGCGGAAACGACTGGCGCGAGAGAGAGAGAAAAAGAAAAAGAGAAAAACTGCAATGTAGATCTTTCACACATTCATACATCCGCACACACTCGCCTATATCTCACATGACTCGAGCATCTTCCTATTCGCCCTATCTCCTCAGTCGCCGTCACCGTCACCGTCACCCTTGGGCTGCCCCCGTTCCCCCAATCCTTCCATCCAGCTTCCAACCCACACCCCCCTTCCCCTTTCCCTTCCCCTTCCCCTTCCCCTTAGCTTGTCCAATACCCATTCCCCTACTAAACTAACATTCAAACCATTGTCTACCTATCTATCGCCTCCCTGCCACTTCCCTACTTCCCTCCCTCCCTCCCTACCTACCTCCCTACCTACCTACCTACCCATCCCAAGCCATACCATAACCTACATATGCAACCCCGTCCTCGCTACCGCCATCCGGCCCTTCCCGATCCACACCATAATCCCCAGATTTCCAGCTGGCCAACTACCTAGCTATTCCCTCAGTCACGAGCTAGTCCATATTCCACACATACATACATACACACATACATACAACACATATGTACCCAAGCGTGGGGGTATACTACCGGACACATATATCTCAAACACATGCCGCGGGCAACAAGAAATCTGGTTGGCAGCCGCTGTTACCGTTACTAGCCGCCTGCTGGCGGTACCTCGTATGCGTGCGCAAGGCCCTATCAGGACGGCCGGCCAGCCAGCCAGCCAGCCAGAACAGATAGACATGGGTCACAACCCTCAGGGTTAGGTTAGGCGAGCAGGTAACCAATCACGTCGCACGGTTCCGGCGTTACTCGCGACAGGGCAGAGGCTCTTCTTGTTTTGCCATCCTTCTGTCTTTGCCGCGCGAATCACTGGTTGGAAATGTTCTGGGGGGGGGGATAAGGATAGGAAAGACGTTGGTTGGTCTTGTAAGTTTATCCCTGTTTATTGAACTACTATAGAGCTTAGATGGCCTTTGTGTGCTCTTTGCACATTATATATGTCTATTAACCTACGTTGGTGTTTTGTGGGGTAGCCTTGGAGCTGAATCCTTCTAGATCAGCGAGCTGTGGCCCAGACCAGCCTGCCTCTTACCCTGGGCGCCTATCCGTTAATACGAGCCTATAGTAGGCTACTGATGAACTAACTACTCGTGTGCTAACTGTACAATATAGTTGCTAGTATTGTCGAATCTAGGCCCTTTCTTCTGTGTTAAGGGGCGCCTTCGAAAACTTAGATCTTTCATGGACTACCAAGCGTGCCGCTCTCCATGAGACTTTGATAGAACTCGGGCTCGAGGAACTTCGCCACGCTTACGTCCTCGCTGAGACCCTTGCGCCGTCTGGTCTTGAGTACGAAGTCTCTAGCCGTAGCCTGGGCATCAGCGGGTTGTAGCGGTCGTAACACCACCTCCTTATCGAGCGGGTCGCCAGGCACCTTCTGCCATTTGTCGAAGACGAGGCTCACCATGGCCTGGCCTTGCGTCTGGATGCGAACGTCCGTCTCGAAGCCGAACGAGTCGATCACCGGAATTAGCCCACTGACACGGTATAGTGGTGTACCTGCGATCGGACCGTCCGATAGTACGTGACCTCTTCTGCGAGCTAGAACATTGTATAGCACGGGGACGGCATCTTGAGGACCTGTCATCGAGCACGCATACAAAGGCTCCATAAGGCGCGGCGATGCCATGAGGAATGAGCTGTAGCACGCGCGTCGCGCAGTTGGAATGATCTGACCGCCGCCCCTGAAGATTGCCTCCTGTGCTAGGGATACGTCCATGATACGAAACTTGGTGTTGCGGATCGCTACAATTGCAATCAAAAATTAGCAAACTCCGCAAAGCCAAGGTATAATAACGTCATTGATCGGCATCTGGTTCATTCTGTGATATTACTCAATTGGGGGGTATGTCACACACGGATGCAACAAAGGCTATCCTCGAGACAGACCCCTAGTAAGTGAGCCTTGAATACGGATGCTTCGGTAGGCTCTGTTGTGCTAGTGCCTCGTACCCCAGGTGTGCGCAGACCTCGCCTTACGGGTTCGATAGACGAAGTCTGATCGAATCTGCACAATGCACAGAGCAGGGTCCCTAGTCCCAAGAACTCGTAGCTTATGTCTTGGCAAGGTACGGACATGGGTTGCAGTCCATGCTTGGAACTTGTCAAGCTACCTAACGCATGGTGATAGGTCTATCTCCACGTTTGCCGTAACGCCATTTTGAATGGTCCTTCGACGCCTAGCGCCTTGGTCATTTCGAGTAGGGGACACAAGCTGCTACGCTAGTAACAGCGGGACGCCGTCGCGTTTCGCTCGAATGCGTTAATGGCTTGTGAGCAATGAGGGTGCTAACCTCGGCATGAACGATTTTGGGTGGTAAACGTATGTAGGGAGCTTGGACTAAAGAGGTTCTAGATGGGACGTGGCGGAAAGCGTGGGATCGACGCTGGGTTGGGTGGGAATAACAATAAAATGCAGGGGGATGTAGGTACTCACGTTCTTCACATAGAGGGCCTTCTCTGGTAGCCCAGCTAAACCCTTGGCGAATGGTCTCGCGCACGCTCCTGAGAAGCGTCTTATCCACCTGCCGAAAAGATTAGGTGTGATCCAAGTAGAACAAGATTCTAGAACTGTGAGGCTGAAATTGCGAAGGTATTGCCGCATGCGGACCCATAGGGTGACACTCCACGCTACAGAAATCGCATGTGTAGTAAGACGCCGAGCTTTCAAGGTCACAATATGGTGGGGGAAAACGACAGAATGGTCGACTTACCTCGAGTGTGTCGTCCTGCAAGATATTAGGTCCCTTCTCATCCGGGCCGAATGCCCAAATGCTCCTCGCGGCCAGCAGATCCCATCCGTACTTGTCCTGGAAGAATTTGCCCACTTTTCGGGCACCGTCTTGCATCTTGACGCGGCCGCTCTCGATATCTTCCGCGATTCCGTCGTCGAGCGGCTCGGCGACCATAGTAATCTTATTTTTCTTGTTCGGCGTAATGGCGTAGCATTTGGTAGCTGACATCTCGTCTACTGTCTCGCAGAAGCGCGTGACGGGATCCGAAACCTTGATTTCCATATCTGCGTACAACCGTCGCAGGTCGTGGAGGACACAGTCCATATACAATTCACCAGTACCTAAAATGATGTGCTCCCCCGATTCTTCCACCTTGGTAGTGATTAGAGGGTAGCTTTTGTTAATCTTTCGTAAGCCGTCAAGCATCTTGGGTAGCTCCGAGGGGTTGATGGGCTCGACTGCTACCTTCAGAACCGATTCTGTGAAATGCGTAACCGGTCTGAAGATGTAGGCTTCCTCATCATCCTCGAGTTTCGGCGGTACTATTGTCGCCGACTTCACGATCGAATTGTCAACGCCGCTCAGTAGCGCCCAGTTACCGGCGGGGACTCCATTGGTTTCGACATTGTATCGCGACTCGGCGATGTAGACGTTGGAAATAGTAGCCGTAGCCATGTCCTCCTCATCGTCGATAGAATAACCCTCTCCGAGCACTCGCACTTGCATTCCAGGTCGAGCAATACCACTCATCACCCGACCAAAAGAGTAGAAGCTCTTGGCATCTGAGGAATTAAATAGTTTCGTGATGTGTACGACCAACGGGCCATCCTGGTCGCACTTCTTCATAGATTCGGCTACCTTGGTGTCCAAGGGACCGGTGTAGTACTGTTCCAACTTGCGTTCTGCTGCTTCCAACGGAGAAGGAACATTCTTGACAATCATATCGACGAAGCCAGTTGACGGGCCGAAGAACTGCTCACAGACCAGCTTGAGCAGCACCTTAGCGTCCGTCTTGTACTGTGACGGCTTCAGTACTATGCCTAGCGTCGCCAGTACACCCTTCAGTTCTTCGGGACTCTGACTGATAGTATGAGAGAAAACCTTATAGATAGGCTCTAAGACAAAGTGGATAAACGATCTCTTTGCGCGTTCTTCACCGGGCAGAGGTTTCCTGCTGAAGGTTCTCTTCTTCGGATTAAAGTAGATATCGCCCCAGAGACGTTTGGCGAATTCCTCGGTATTCACACCAGGGAAACTATCCGCGTACATCTTTGAGAAGGACTGCAGCGTGAAGCACCAGCCCATCTCGCTACACGCGAATAGCACATTCCCCTTCTCTGGACTTAACCGCTTCTGATCTCCGGAACCTGGTCGAGTATTTTCGATGACGGTATTTACCTCCTCGATAACGTGTTTTAGCTTGAAATAAGCATCGCTCGGCGGCAGTCTTAGTTCTAGTATGAGCCTATCGACCTTGTTGATTATCAAGGTCATCGGAATATCTTCGAGAACGGCATGCTTGATGATCTGCTCCGTGTTGACCTGTACTCCCTCTACTACATCCACGACTAGCGCAACGCCATCCACCAGCCGTAACGCCGCCGCAACCTCGTCGACGAAGTTAACGTGACCCGGGGTATCTATTATATTGAACAAGTGAGACTTGCCCTTAGTGCTTTGTAAGACTAAGCTCATCGGCGCCGCCTTTACGGAAAGGCCCCTTTCCCTCTCCACCACGTGCGTATCGGTATATCGTAGTTGCTCGTCTCTCTTTCTACCCGTTCGCTTCTCTAGCCTGTCGGATATATCATGCGTCTCGAGGACTAGCATATCCATAAACGCGGTCTTGCCATGATGTAAATCTCCAGCTAGAGCTACATTCCGTATTTGATCGGGGAAGTTCATGAGGTCGGTCATGAAATTACGGTCGAAGTGGACGGGAGGAAGGTCGACCTCTTCGATAGAAAACTTCTTCACCTCGACGGGTGCAACGATCGGTTGTGAGAGCGGTTGTGCATCCTCCTCTTGCACTAACGTCTCGACGTCTTCTCCGTATACTTGTTGCGCCGTCGGGTAATATTGCTTGTCTTCATGTAATATCACCGCGTTTGAGGGTCCTTCATCATCTACTTCCATTAATTCCTGCCCTGTGACTTCGGGCGCCTCCTCGGGGTATTCGTCATCGAGATACGCGCCCGCGTCAACGCCATGCTGGGATTCTTCCTCAGATGCTTCGACATCCTCCCCGATGAAATTTCCGAACCTAGTCAATATAGTTAGCTTATGGGTGGAACGCGAGCAAGTGGATATACGTACTCATCATAAAGGTCATCCATGGCGTAAACAAGGCTCGGACGTAGGTCAATGGGGGTTTGGGTAGAAATACGACGATAGCTTGTTGTCGCGCTTAGAAAAGTTACAAATTACAAAGTCGAGATGCAAGGCTGACTATAGCGCGTTCTGTGCTGTGGCTAATGGCAAATTTATTTAGTGGCTAATGACAAGGCTGGACCATGTAGGTAGGTTAGGTACGTAATGTGCTCCGATAAGCGGACAGTACTAGCTTAACTTTTTAACTTATCTAACAAGCTTAGGATCCTCCAATCTCAGGACCAAAAACACCAACCCCACTATCCTATTCGGTAGGTACCCAGGTGGGCAATATCCTTCCTTACCTTAAGCAGGTTGATTCGGTAAGGTAAGGTACGACCAACGAATTGAATCTTGGAAGTCGACCTAACCGGAGTAAGTTTAACGGATACATGTATGCATTGTACAACTATACTAAACTTGGTTAAAGGGAAGAAACTCCGAACATTTGCTACTTTGTGCTAGTTACTTTGTTCACAACTCAATTTTGGTGAGTTCCAAGGTACCCCGTCCTACTCGTCCAATGCAAAAAGGTACAGGTAGGTAGGGGTCTAACCGCAGATCCGCTATATTCGGTAGCACAATATGCTAGCTAAGATAAAAGATAAATGGGAGGGGCGGTCAATATTTCCATTTCCCACCATATCGTCTTTTCTTCTTTGAAAGGGGGCCATTCTGGTATTGCTGGTATTCTGGTAGCTCAACATTTTCGAGACTGAAATATATAAAATTTGCTTTCTTTTTTTTTTGCTTCTTCTCCTTTTCTTCTGAGCTGTGAGATCTTCTGTCATAATTCAACATGTCTAATCTTCCCTCCGTCTACATTGTCTCAGCTGCTCGAACCCCCGTGGGGTCGTTCTTAGGGTGAGTTTTACTTTCTGTTACGAGCTTCCCCTCCTCTCTTCTTTTCTTGATGTAGTTTGTGAAACTGACCCTTGAACTATTAGAACGCTGTCGAGTCTCAGCGCCACTCAGTTGGGATCCCACGCTATTAAGGGTATGTCTCTCCCATCCAAGTTACACAGCTTGGCTAGGTAGTACACTTACACGATTCGTCTACAGCTGCCATCGAGCGAGTCCCTCAGATCAAGCCTGAAGATGTAGAGGAGGTCTTCTTCGGCAACGTGCTGTCTGCCGGGTATGTCTTATTCCTACAGAATCCAATGAGTAGAGTGAGGGGAAGCTAACATTCGATATCTAGCCTTGGACAAGCACCCGCTCGACAATGCGCTATCGGTGCTGGCCTTCCGGATTCGGTCGTCTGCACTGGCGTGAACAAGGTCTGCGCTTCCGGCCTAAAGGCTATCATTCTGGGTGCCCAGACCATCATAACCGGCAATGCCTCCATCGTTGTGGCCGGCGGTACCGAGTCCATGTCCAACACCCCGCACTACCTGCCCACCCTGCGCAACGGCGCCAAGTTCGGCGACCAGACCCTCGTCGACGGTATGCTGAAGGATGGTCTGACCGACGCCTATGCCAAGGAACACATGGGTCTCGCCGGCGAGCTATGCTCCTCCGACCACGGTATCTCCCGTGAGCAGCAGGACGAGTACGCCATCGAGACCTACACCCGCGCTCAGAAGGCCACCGCCGACGGCGTCTTCTCCAAGGAAATCGTGCCCGTCGAGGTCAGTGCCGGCCGAGGCAAGCCCCCAGTTCAGATCACAACCGACGAGGAGGTTAAGAACCTGAACCCTGAGAAGCTAAAGACGGTGCGCCCCGTCTTCAAGCCTCAGGGTGGTACCGTCACAGCTGCCAACGCCGCCCCCCTTAACGACGGCGCTGCTGCCCTCGTGCTCATGTCCGAGGCCAAGGTCAAGGAGTTGGGTGTAACACCCATCGCCAAGATCCGCGGTTGGGGTGACGCCGCCCGTGAGCCCCAGCGCTTCACTACCGCGCCCGCCCTTGCCATCCCTAAGGCTATCAAGCACGCCGGCCTGACAGACAAGGACGTCGAATTCTACGAGATCAACGAGGCTTTCTCTGTCGTCGCCCTAGCTAACATGAAGCTGCTCGGCCTTACTAGCGACAAGGTCAACGTCTTCGGTGGCTCCGTCGCCATCGGCCACCCGCTCGGCTGCTCCGGCGCCCGCATCGTCACCACTCTGACCACCGTCCTGCGCGAGAAGAAGGCCAAGATCGGCGTTGCTGGTATCTGCAACGGTGGCGGTGGCGCCAGCGCTATCGTCATCGAGAGCTTACAATGACTACATGAAGGCGGCGGGGAGGAGACGGTAGTCCGTACGAGACGGGATTCACGAATATAATGAAATGAGTGGATGCGTATGGATCTACCTGAGTAATGTTGCAACGTGTTAAAAGAACCATGGCCATTCAACTGCCAAGATGATGGAAAAAGTGTAAGCAAATGAAGAGCTTTTTGTTTTTTTGCTCGAGGATGGGGAGAATAAGAGATTTAATACATACCCAATATCTACTTACCTTATCTAGCTTAGGTAGTAATTCTACAATTCTGAAATCCCCATACAACTGACAAGCTACCTATGTATTCTTCTATGTGATGTCCTAGTGTAAGTACACTGACACTCTGTGCTTCTATCTCAGCTTCTACATAAGTATTTGAAGTAGTAGTATGTTCGCTGCTATGAAAATCACAAAAAGGCACCAGGACGACGATTGGTGCATACATAGCGCATTGGATGTCGATCAGCATATCTATAATACAAACTAATGAGAAAAGCGCCATCCTATCCGCTTTGTTCGGCCTCGATTGCACGTATGCAACAAAAAGAAAAAGAAAAGGGGTCTTCGTGGGGGGGTAGGATATCCACTCAAGTGCCAACGCCCCAGCGCCAGTCGTGATGCCTTTATGCTTATGCGTAATCAAATCTCACCGCCGTCTAATCACTCCTGGGGCTAGGTACTTAGCCAAGCTGAGTACTCGTACGCGAAGTCGGAGTAGGCGTCCACCTATTCAAGCCCTTCCATATTCTCGCCATCTTCTCCCCGGCCGTTGGCATTGGGCGAGACGCCGTCCTTGAACCACTTCTGGAAGTTCTCGTTGACTTTTTGGACCTCGTCCTGGCTCATCCCCCGCATCCAAGCGTTATTCATAACCATCTTCTCTCGGAACCGCTGCTCGCGATGTTCGGTGATGGCGCGGCGATACTCCTCGACCGCGGCCTTGTCCTTGTCATCCTCGGGTTCTGTTGAATAAACAAAGAACTCGGACGTGTCTTTTTCCCAGACGATCTTATTGGAGTTCAGACAAATGCGCAAGACTAAACCTTCGCTATACATGAGAGGCTTCGGCACATTGCCATCGTCGGAATCGGCTTCGGTGGATGGCAAGTTGCGAGCAAGGACTGTCTTCTGAAGGCGAGAGCGAGGTACCCCCTCAGTAGGCTCTACACGCATGTACGAAGAGATGTAATACTGCCATCTGTCGCGCAGTTCCATCTCATCCATGTAAAATGTCGTCTCATCACGTTGCAACCATCGCGCTGTGGCCTCGCGCTTGTGCGGGAACTATATGTAATGATTAGCAACCGAGGAGGCAGAGTTAGCAGACATAATAATGATAATACTTACCCAGCAAATAACGAACATATCGCCATCCTTGATACACTTCTCGGCATACTTGCGGGCGCTGATCTCGTTTTGGTAACTGGTCACATCATTATGACGATTGTTTAGGAAGTGGTGAATGAGATCCGGTGTCTTCTCCTTTGAGTCGAGACTGGTGCACGTCAGGGAGAGGCGGCATAGCGTCTTCAAGAGGTCTTGGATCGTATATAAAGTCCAGCCCTTCTTGAGATAATAATGACGGAGCACTTCTTGATATCGATTCTCATCGATCTCTCCGGTGATATAGTCTTCAATAAGTTCGACCGTCTTTGGCCAGAATGAGGCAGGTTCGTTCTCATCGAAGTAGTTAAGCTCATTGACGGTAATACCAAGATCCCTTGCGGGCTTCTTGCTTTTCGATCGGGCAATCTCTTGCAAGACGCTCTCCTTGCTCTCCTTGACGTCCTTGAGACGCTTGTATAGCGTCTGGAACACGGTGAAGAATACATAAATAGTCTGGTTGCAAAAGAAGTTGTACCACGGGCGAGGGAAAAGCCCGTCAGCTCTCAACTCGCCGTCGGTGTCCAGAAGCGGATTGTCACCCTTGACAACCGTCGCTCGAGGTACTATAGGTAGCCACCGCTCATTAGATTGTTCAGCAGGGAGAGAATCCTCTGGGGCGTCCGCCATCTCTTCTTCGTTCGCGGACCCAGCGTCTGGGGTTGTCTCTTTGCTACCAGATGCAGCACTGCCCTCCTTTTGAGTCCTAGTCTTGGCACCGTTACGGCCAGGATCTAAAACGCCGCGGAGCAAGTCAGATCTCTTGCCGTTGCGTCGGGCACGACCGTTAGTTAGCTCTGCAGGAAGTTGTTCCTCGGCATCTTCTTCGCCGGACTCGCGATCGATATCATGGAGCCGATCTTGCACTTTTTCTTCCGACAATTCGAAGAAACGTGGGATAAACCACTCGAAAAATTCAACAATCCGCTCCTTTTCAGAGTTACTATGGTGGCCATTATTAGTACCGTAGAGGACCATGAATCGGAGTAGGTCTAAGATGACCTCCTGGTCACCCAGCTCATATGCAAACTGATGTCGCGGGATTTTATTCTTCGAGCTGCGCAAGCGTCGTTGTTCTTCGTGTTTTGTCTTAATGACATCCACCAGGTGCTTGGCAGAGAGATTCCGCTTGTCAGTCTGTTTAACCTGTATACCCATATGATCCAGACTCTTGAGGTGCATGATCTCTGTCTGCGCTTGCCATACTTTTTCCCACTCCCTCTGCGTAAATCGCCACTCCTCGTCCTTTTGCTTAAGCCGCGCAAGGACGACGGGGACAACAGCAAAGGGATCCGTAAACATATCGCTGACAACATCAAGACCCTTCTCGTTACCGTAGATCTTCTTCAGGACACGCTTGAAGATAGAGGTGCTGGAGCCTCCGAGTCCTGCTGGCATCTGGAACGTTTCTCGTTCCTGAGGAGTCAAGTTCAGCATCTGCTGAGCGATGGGCTCGAGTAACTGTATGCACTTGACATTGGCTTCGATATTAAAATCGTAATCGTGACGCTCCTCCTCGATGCGATGAAGACCTTCTTCAAACGCGTTCTTTCGATGAGCAACAAAGCCCGAATCTTCCGAGGCCCAGGTAGGGTGGGATGCCCATTCGTCGTTGAGTACAGCGTTACACATCTCGTCGCGGCCGCCACACGGCTTGAGTTTTTCCTACAACGGCACTGTTAGCGGATAACATTACTTTTGGAGACAGGAACATGACTTACCCTGCGAGGTAGCAACCTATAACTCGGTCCGATAGCCCGACAATTGCTCAGCGATACCTTCTCCGTAGGTGGCCTTGGCCTATTCTCGATGATCTCGTCAAGACCCTCGTATCCTACAAAGTTCTTGAACCAACCCATCAGTTCAGCACTGCCTCCGATGAACTGACTAGATTTATGAACGAGATCATTAGTGTCGATCAAACTCTGAGAGTACATGTTGCAGAGCTTCAAGAACTCGTTCATCGTAGACCTATTTCCAATATACTTCTTAACCTTCTCGAAAAATCCCAGTTCGTCTGCCGTCGCGTTTGCCGACGACGTGGGAGGGAGAGGTTCGGGAAGAACTGGGGTAAGTGTGGGCTCGATCGACTGTACATCCGCGGCCAAAGGCTTGTGATTAAGTTTCGGTCGCTTGCTAGCAGGACCTACTCCAGGAATTGAGCGTGATCCAGGAGCAGGACTGTCAGCAATGGCAGGCGCAGGAGGCGCGGCCTGCTTCTCATTACGAGGCCGTTTTTTATTATCTTTACTTGCGCTGGCAGGAGGCGCGAAGTTCCCAACGGGAGGCATCTTCTGGCCGTCTCTCATGTTATGCCCAGGCTGCGGCGTGGTCTGAGTGAGGCCGGTCATGGCGAACATGTCTTCGGGTTTCGCACCGTTACCCTTGTTCGAAGCAGCAGACTCGGGCAGGAATTGCTTAAAATCCTCTAAAAGGTCGGGTGCGGTATTAAAGAGGGTGGTGACTTGGGCATAGACGTCTTGTATTGGTTTCTGCTCTCGTTGGTAGGTCTGTAAAATCTCGAGAAACTGCTTGTAGATTTCGGGTTTATCTTGGAAGCGGTTCTGCGTGCACAAGTTAACAAGTTAGCAAGTTTAGTTTTTGTTCAAGTATTCCACCGTGCAAATTTTTGTGGGGTTAAGAGAACTATTTGTTAATGTGCTTTTGTCCATGTGCTTTTGAACCATCAACTCACCTTGATTTTATTCACATAGCTAATAGCATGATTGAATTCAACTGGTCCGCGCTTTTCGATATTCGATTGCTGGTTACCACTGCCAGGCATCCCTTGCGAACCACTTGGGGTTGGTGTAAGAGCGTTGCGAGTTGTTGGCGCGTTAGGCGTAGTAGAATTATTTTGTATCTGAGATGTACCAAGATGCTGTTGATTTCCTCCGCTTGCACCGTCGAACTCTGAGGGCTGAGTCTGAGCAGCTCTGAACAAGCTTGGACCATTTGGTGCCGGGGCGCTAAAAGAGGCTTCCGGGCTTTCGATGCTGTGCTGTGGTTGTGGTTGTGGTTGTGTTTGTGGTTGCGGTTGCGGATGTTGCTGCTGCCAGTTGCTTGTCCGGTGGTTGAAAAAAGGTCCGTTCGTTCCCGGTTGGCCATGCGCCCCGTCGCCTTGATTTGCTCTGCCTGTAATCGATTGAACTGTTGTTCCCATGGGCGTAGTGACGCGAATTGTATTCGGATCGTTTCCTGCACCACATTCGATCCTATATCCCGGCGGAAGAAAAGTGTTAAAGCCTTGAATGAGATTCGGATGGCCGGCAAAAAGTTCTGATACGCGGTTGATGACACCAGGCGTGTCAATTCTAGGCCTCAGGTCAGCTTATACTCATCATATGTATCTCGGTATGTCGACTAACGTTTGACTCTTAAAGTCTTTCATGATATCAAGGAATTTATTGTACACGTCCGGTTGGTCGGCAAATTGCACCTTGACCTGGTCTAAGTAGCTGAGGGCGTCCTGAGAAGACTATACATTAGTGCATAAAGCAGACAATCGGATCCAAATATGTGCAAGGAATTGAAGATTATTAAAACGAAAGGGACATTCCCATGAGGCTCAAAAGGCTTATTGCCCATGCGCTTTTCATAGACTTGAGAGGATATTCGAGTAAGGGAGTAGGGGAGTAGAATGACAGGGTAAGTGTATATAGCGTATATAGCGTATATAGCGTATATAGTGTAAAATGAATATGCCTAGCGGCGGGAACAGCAAGTACCCGTCCCACATAAAGACATACGAACGCGAAAACAGGAGCCTGGGTAAGTCTGCTGTATAATATCTTCATATGATGGATAGCGATACAATAAATGTATTGGACTTACATTAAGTATAGGTTGCTGCCCCTGCGGCATGCCACTAGCACCACCGCTGGGTAATGGGTGACCTCCTGGAATCCCAGCGCCATTCCCACCGAACGGTATACCTTGTGAGGCTCGGTTGCCTTCTTGCTGTAGCGGACCACCAAATAGATGTGCTGCAGGTCCCGAAGAGCCAGAGGGGCCCGGATTGTGACCACCTATAGCTCCGAACATCTGGCTGGATGCGTTCTGGGCATTATGCGGGAGTGTACGGTTCGACTCAGCTTGCAATGGACCGCCGAACGTGTTTACGGGGACGGAGGGAGCACCGAGAGGGATAGGAGGTCCCGAGCCCCCATGAGTCGCTAGAAGACCTCCAGGACTGTGGATGGCACCGGGGAGTCGCGAGGCGACGGGCTGATGGATCTGTAACGACGCGGTATTGCTTTGGCGGGGAGTCCCAACAGGGAATTGATCTCTCTGATGTCGCTCGGCCGACTCGCGGTCGCGATGCGACATTTCCTCAGAATGGGAGTTCATTTCGCTTCAAAATCGCGGATCTGATAATTCAAAACGTCAGTTAAACTAATTTGCTATGTGCTGAAATGCGCGCGTTGCTACGAGCGAAACCCAATGAAGCCAGTCAGGAGATAAGCAGACCGAGAGTCGACCCTAGAAGCCATCCATCCAAGAAAAAGGAGAAGGGATAAATCGCGCTCCTCGGTGACCAGGGTGAACTTACTTTCTACATGGGTACTATTCTATCGATGAGAACAGGGCGCGGTATAAGATGATGTCTTTTAATTTCTGGTGAGAAGGAAAAAGCTGAATGAGATCAAGCCGCGACAGCTTGGAGACAAGGTTTCTGCCGTGCGATCAGCGGCGGCCGATAACAAGCAAAGTGGCTCTCTTTATTTTATTACGATGGTCACATGGAGATAAGAGAGCAAGCAAGCTTCTTATTGCTCCGAATTGAGTTTAGCGTTTAGTGGAGATTTAGGAGCTATGTAATACCTACCGTACCGTACCGACCTCGGTCATAGAAGCTACCTCCTAATGTAGGTATTCCCATCTTCTATATAATTCATTCGGTCTAAAGAGAGCTTCAAAATTCTACTATATATGCTCTAGAGTATTATATTATCAGTACTATAGGAATATTAAGGGCTTACATACAGGCGACCAAACAATACTATAAATTTTCATTGCCGAAGAGACACTAATAGGTGTATAATTCTCAGCTTGGTGATTCTCATGTCCCCTAGTAACGAATTATTTTCATATTTATGTAGTTATTTAAGATAATATCATATTTCAGAAAAACGGCCTTATTAGATACTCTCGACCTTCTCCATTGCGCTTCCCTCCTTACATAGGTAAATATCAAACGTTGAACTGGCCCAAATCCAACCATATCAACTCTTATATATTTCATTAGTACTGCCACAATTTTTTCGACCAATCAGATCCTTAGAATCGCCCCGCAGTTGGCGACCTTTTCCTTTGCCATTCTATCGCATAAGGTCTGAAATACATGCAAATAGGATAGAAAGGTCATGCAAAACGAGCTTTATCCAACGATACCAATTATTAAAGTTTTTATACAATAGTATAGTAGGTCAATTGATTTTACAAAAAATTCATCGGACGTGCGCTGAGGTGTGGCTAGCCAATCAGAAAGGCCAGACTTATACTATATATGTGGCGTAAAAGGCACTCTTGAAGCTAGGCACTCCCCGTAAGCGCCTGCGCGAACGGGTAACGCAGCTAGTTTGCTTGCACATAGCTAAGTCAAAAATCTATAGGCCTAGGCAAATCCCTAATACTAAGTACAGAAATTATCCATACTACTAATAGGTTGTATCCTCCTAAACTCCATTCATAAGCCGAACCAGTAGCAAAGCCATCCCAACAAAATACATTATAGAACATAGTTATATAGTGGTCGCTCATCAGCTCTAATACCAAAATTTCCAAAGCCATATCATACCACTCAGTAAAAATTTAGCGTTTAAACATAATTTCGTACTCCGTTCAGGATCCATAGCTCGCCATTCCCAACTCGGCTCGCGATACTATCCACTTGGATCCCGTCAGGTTGGATCTAAGATCGTCAGCTGTATATTCGCTATCACAATGCCAAAAAAAAAAAAAAAAAGCAACTCACCACTCTAATACCGTCTTTCATCTCCCACCATATTTCTCTATCCCCGTCAAGTAGCGTCTTAACCTTCTCCCCCTCCTGCCAAGGGCTGACAGAGACTACATGTGCCTCTACGAACCTCATCAGATTCCTGTGAGCCCTATCTTGTCCGTCCTGGCCCTCATATGCGTTAGTGCCGAGCGCATCGTAGTCCTTATGGTCTTCCCAGGGTTTGCGCGGTAGCTTCTCGACGACCGAATTCCGCGGGGCGAGGACGGTACTGTTTTTCGACGAGTCGTCGAGGCGGGAGGATATCGAGGCGATGTCGCGGGTGAATCCAGCGAATATATTGATGCTACGGTCTCGGCCCATCACATCAGAGATAAGAACTCCTCCTTGGGGATGTGGCTGCTCGGAGCCTCCAGGTTGTTGTGATGGTGGCATGACGGGACCGATGTCCATGAGGGGCTTCTGGGCGTTAGATTTCATTTGTATGCCGTAGGGCAGAGCGACGTGTTGGGCGGATACTGTCGCTGTTAACAGTTGGAGGCAATATAGCGCCAAAAGCTTCATATTTCTAGAAGCTAGATAGTAAAAGAAGGGTATTTGCAATCGTACGTATGTAAGGTATAAGATACTAAATGGTGAAGGCAAATCAATCCAGCAGATTGCGACTGTCCAGTCGCTCGGGTTCTAGATAGATAAGGTTCCACTAACTTTAGGTATGCTTAGCGTACCCCGGCATGACATCACTCCTCGAGACTTGAAGCACCTGATCCCCGTCCAGTACATTCCTTACGTACCTTTTCTATGTAATAGGTACATTCATTCATTCCACTAGTATACATACACTCACACATATAGGTAGTCAATGTCAAACCTACTGTGAGGTTATCACAGCAATATTTGTATAAACTTAGCTAAGATTCAGGGCTAGTATAACTACGTAACTTTATAGTACGATGTAAATGAAGCAGATGGCAAAACGTTTGCAGCTCCCCTTGCTTAAACTACCTCAACGTAGAATAGCCTCATTCGACTTTAGCGAATAATACCTATTGTCAACTTAGGAACATATAATAAGGATGCTAGGTATTGCTTAGTAAATACGTACTTGCATTGCAGCACCTGCAATAGGCTAAATATAGTATTATTTAATTAACTACCCTAGGTAATCAAGACTAAACATCTCTACCTTCCAGATGGTTATCTTGATACTACCACTACCACCACATATAGGTAAATATCGAAAGTATATGAAAAGAGAATGCGAAAGAGGGATGGAATGATGATTTGTGAGATATGTCTTAAACTAATGTCATTCGGTAAACATTGATTCCAAGGCCAATGGACATAAAACCGGGTTGTTCGAACCCCATCGCGTACTGTTTGGTAACGAAGACGAAAAGTTACAGCATGCTACTATGCTGGCTACCGGTGCTGTTATCTCGCAGCACAACGTTGTACAGCACCAGCCATCCTCGACTATAACCGAATTTCTATATATCGAGAGCCAATGCCATATTTTAAGAAACTCACTCCATTCTTCAGCCAAGTGAAGCAGCAGATAAAGAAAAGATGTGGCTGATCAACACCAAAACCTTAGAGCTCGAATTTGTTGCGAGCCCTAAGGAGCGCTCTTATGCCGTCTTATCGCATACGTGGGAGGATGAAGAAGTGTCCTTCCAACAATTTTCAAATGTCACGAAACGCGCGTCGGCTGAACAGCTGCGCGGATTTGCCAAGATTGCGAAGACGTGTCAATTGGCCAAAGACGAACACATGCTGGAATATGCCTGGGTAGACACTTGCTGCATTGATAAGACAAGCAGCGCCGAGCTATCCGAGGCCATCAACTGCATGTTCAGATGGTATCAAGAGGCAGCTGTATGTTTCGTCTGGCTTTCTGATATGATCCTCGAACCGGCCGATCTATGGGATACTCCGCTTGGTCCATATAAGAGAATCACTCCGGATGTGTTAAGAAGATGTAAGTGGACTACGAGAGGCTGGACGCTTCAAGAGCTGCTAGCCCCGAGCTTCGTCAAATTTTACGACAGAAATTGGGATTTTGTCGGCACCAAGGACTCATGGCTATTAGACCCCATATCAGAAGTCACCGGAATCGAGCCTGAATTCTTGACCCATAACTACTTAATCTGGTCTGCCCCGGTTGGCACTCGAATGCGATGGGCCGCCAAGAGAAAGACGACACGACCAGAGGATATAGCGTATTGCCTCCTGGGTATTTTCGAAATCAACATGCCCCTACTATACGGCGAGGGGGATAAGGCATTTCTTCGACTTCAAGAAGAGATCTGCAAGCAGACCCACGACTTATCTCTATTTGCATGGACGGCTCGGCCAGGCTATGCTTCTTCTTCTTTATTTGATTGGTATCGCGGTATCTTCGCCATTCACCCATGCGAATTCTCAGGACTGTCGGGACTAAAGCGCGAGAGCGTTAGTCGTATCTTTCGCGGCGAGGTCACCATCACCAACAAAGGTCTCCGTCTCGATGATATCCAGTTATATAGGGCACCTAATGATACATTGATATTACCCCTCGGCTACAGTAGCCCGCACCCCGATGATAAAGGCGAAAAATCATCTTATGGCATATATATCAGACTAACTCTTGATGGATACATCCGCAAAAATCCAGGCGTCCTCGCCATACTATCGGGCAACCGTACCACTGATATACCAGCACACCGCATCTATGTTAGGAAACAGTCAATCATACCATGGGCTTACAACGAACTAATACAAGATAAATATATCGGCGTGTTGCTCTTCCGATTCGAGGGGCAGCTAGCTTCTAGAATCGTCAAAGTAATACCGCAAGAGTCGTTTGACTACAGTCTCAACGCATTTCTAACTGGGGGTAAAAAGTTCTTCGGCTACCTACGGCTGAACGTGGGCGGTGTTGACGTTGTGGTCGTCTGTTGGCTAAGAATGTATCTTTCAAAGTACTCTACCACTATGACACCTAATGTCAGGTATGGCTTTGCTATCGAGGGCAAAGATGGTTGGGACAGGTTAAAGACAATGCGCCTCGAGACCGAAATAACCAATCACGCAGGCCAGGATGGGACCGTTCCGTCTCTTTTGCCAAACGCCAAATTAAGCCACTCCGATGGTAGTATTGTCACCTCACTCGGTTCATCAAGCATAAGTATGGTCATGCATACTTTTACAAGAGGCCAAAACAGCCATTTAATGTTCACGTTTTCAAAGAAAAAGAAGAGGAGTCTTTTCCGTTGACCTTAGGTATATATCACCTCATCTGCCCTACGTTTCCACCGCAAGAACTTCAGCAGATAGGCGCAGCGGATCTTCCAGCTAAGGTGATGACAAATACCGCCTTTTGCTTTTATTCAGCGAGCAAAGATGACGCCGGAAGTAGATTCTGGGTGACTGGGTCTGACTAGGGGTTACGCATGTCATAAATCATAGTACTCGCGTTGGATAAGCTGAGTTATTATCGTTCCGAACACTGACGCGCGTTAAAAATATGGCGTATCTACGCTTGTTTGATCATGCCCAACGCTCATGTGGCGGTCAGCTATTCGTCACTTCTCAACCTAGTCGCCGATGATGGGGTTCTTTATTAGGCTTTCCCGCTCAACCAAGTCCACGAGCAAATTACCTTAGGACAAAACTTCCCTAAATAATCTCAGAATAATGAATATCATCCATATTCAACCTACGAACATATCGCCATGCCTGCCTCCGCTTCGGAATTAGTTGCGACCATCAGGGGTTGGACCCAGTGCGTCAACGAGAAGAGATGGAACGACCTACCTAAATACGTGCATTCGACATACAACCAGAATGGCATAGAATACACGCCTGAGTCGTGGGCTTCGCACCTTAGGGAGCACGTAGCTCCTCAGCTAGGAGGAGATATCATCATTAACGAAGACAGCATTATTGTGGACGAGAATACTCAATGTGCCTCGTTCTCAATATGGGTCAAATTCAAACCGGGAGTGCCTCTCCTAGGCTACCAACCCAAGGGCCGCGATGTCCTACTGGTAGAACGAGGCTTTGTTTGGTTTACGGATGGCAAGCTGTCGAAAGCTTTACTCGCGGTGAATAGCGACGACATACGCAAGCAGCTAGCGGATCCCGACACCGACTTTATACCCAATCTCATCAGCGAAGATCCCGTCCCTCAGATAGAAGCGCCACTGCCCCGCAACAAGCTCGAAGAAATTTACAGAGCCTACGTCGACAGCTTTAACGCCCGCCGAACCCAGGTGGAGTATGCCAAGTATGTCCACCGGCCAGAAGCAGCACTCAACAACAAGACCTTGGCTCGTCGCATTATGGACGACACGGTGACGGCCATCCCGGACCTTCAAGTGCAGATTCACACCCTGATAGCCGACGAGGAATCGCAGCGCGTAGCAGTGTGGCTGAAGTTTACCGGAACGCCGGTTAAGGAATACGCCGGACTAGTAGTCGATGGTCATGCCGTCCAATTCACCGAGCATGCGACTTATCAGTTTGTGGACGGCAAAATCCAGCGAATTTGGGGATTCATGGACTGGGACGAGGCGAGACAGCAGCAAAGACCCGCGGGGCCAAAATCTATACCGGTGCTTTAGGAGTTGACGATAAGGCTTGACATGATACATGTTTTTGTTGATATTTCGGGTTTCTATTTCGAACAAAAAGCACTCTGGGCTCTAGGCTCTAGGATACCAAACAGCACTAGACTAGAAGACGCCTACATTTAGATAACTATTCTTTTTCGAGGACAGCAATAATATTATTATTCTTTACGAATTTATAAATCTCACAAGCTAAATCCTTCTTACCATGTAGTCCTCATGAAAACTAGGTCCCTAGGTAGGTAAGCTAACGATGCGGCTACCCGTGGAATGCAGACATCCCGCATTTTTCACATGCTAAAATCCTACATCTCAGTTAATCCTAGCCTACCTGTTATGGCTATTGTTACAATTCTGCAGTGAAGGACTACCTAGCCGTCAGGGACCCCAGGTTTAGATCAGCTGCCATGCGACCAGTCTTGTTATGTATTTCGTATTAAAGAGAACTCGCGTGTTAGAGAATCATCTGACACGCGAGTCTCTTTTGCGGGGGAGACGCCGCTTTCGTCTTGCCGGTCCGGGGCGCAGCTCAGCCTTTTTTGGAGGAATAATCACATGCGTCCGTGTCTGTCAGACTTGTGTTGTATGTACCCAATTGTATGCGTGCTAAATCATCCGATTATATGTATACTTGACACACGGGCTGTCACTCCAACAAAGGGGTTTCCTGATAATCCGATCTCAACCCCGTGGGTTCCCGCCGTACAAGGTTTAACCGTCTAGCTCGTGACTGTGGGGAAGAAGCTTTAGAGCCGTCAACTTTGCCCCCATAATCATTTTTCGAATGTGGAGGATGCGGATAGTGGATACGACATATGTAATCCGTACAAACCTCGGCATTCTGGTCCAAAATGTACCGGATAATTCGGTGTACATGAGTACGCGCTAGTGACATCACCTCCTCGGCCGAATATTGTGCGAAGGCCATGTACCTCTGTTTCCGTCCAGCCACCTGGATGTGAGTAGCTACAGTACTAAAAACTGGAAAAATACTTGTATGTCTTATATTAGACTAGAAGACCTGAATGAGGATCAAGTGCGATAATAGCAAATTGTACGCATTTCGCTGTACAGTAGAAACGGACTAAGAGTAAGAAGTACCAATTACGAGCAAGTACATACACGCGAGTACCGGGATAGGTACATACCTGCCTGACCCCTGATGCGCTAAGAGTTGACCTCGGCACGCCCGCGCACGAATCAGAGTGTCAGCAATTCAAAGTAAAGCAGCTTCGACTCGGCCTAGAAGGTCAGCTAGTAAAACAGTTAACAACGAAATATCAAGCCCCGACATCCCTTTCGCATTTCTTCTCAAACTTAAACTTAACACTTTCAAGCTACTTCTCATCCTCTCCTCTCATTTCTCCTGCCATTTCTACATCATTCCCACCAGTAGCCAGGCAGTTCCGTATATTATATCACATCAATTAAAAATGGCACCTCGAGTAATTGTCGTTGGTGGCGGCTGTAAGCTTCAATTCTCTCCCCGCTCCTTGTGAGCGTCACCATTCTGGCGATAACGAGCTGACAATTACATGTAGTGGCCGGTCTGAGTGCTGCACACACAATTTACTTGGCCGGCGGCAATGTTACGGTCCTTGATAAGCAAGGTGAGAATTGAGCTTATTCAGTGTACGACTCGATGAGCTTGGAAACTAATTTATTTATTTTAGGTTTCTTCGGAGGAAACTCAACCAAGGCCACATCCGGAATCAACGGTGCTTTAACGCGGACACAGATTGATAACAACATCAAGGACAGCGTAAAGCTGTTCTACGATGATACCCTCAAATCCGCACGAGACCAGGCCAGACCAGATCTCATCAAGGTCCTCACTTACAAATCTGCAGCCGCAGTTGAGTGGCTACAAGATGTCTTCAACCTAGACCTAACTTTAGTTTCGCGACTTGGGTGAGTCGAGAGAATATCTTATTGGTCTCCCATATTTATGCTAATTACCTTGTTAGTGGTCACTCTCAACCCAGGACACACCGAGGGCACGACGCCAAGTTCCCTGGTATGGCTATCACATACGCCTTGATGCAAAGGTTAGAAGAGCTCGCCGAGACCGAACCCGAACGCGTCCAGGTTATCAAGAAGGCTCGCGTCACAGGCTTAAATAAGGATGGTAACAAGGTCACCGGTGTCACATACGAGTCCAGCGGCGAGAGCGCTATTCTCGAGGGCCCTGTTGTTCTAGCTACCGGTGGTTACGCCGCAGACTTTGGCGAGAACTCGTTGCTGCAAAAGCACAGGCCCGACACCATCGGCCTTGCCACTACCAACGGCACACACGCCACCGGTGACGGTCAGAAGATGGTTATGGCTATCGGTGGAAACGGAATTGACATGGACAAGGTCCAGGTTCACCCTACGGGTCTCGTCGACCCCAAGGACCCTGGCTCGAAGTGGAAGTTCTTGGCCGCTGAGGCCCTGCGTGGTGAGGGTGGTCTCTTGCTCAACGCTGATGGTGACCGATTCTGCGATGAGCTCGGCCACCGAGACTACGTCTCAGGCATGATGTGGAAGGAGAAGGAGAAGGGCAAGTTCCCCATCCGACTAGTGCTCAACTCCAAGGCTTCCAATGTTTTGGACTTCCACACCCGCCACTACTCTGGTCGTGGTCTGATGAAGAAGATAACCGGCAAGCAACTCGCTAAGGAGATCGGTTGCTCCCCCGAGCATCTCCAGAAGACATTCACCACCTACAATGCTATCGCCGAGGGTAAGCAGAAGGACCCCTGGGGCAAGAAGTTCTTCCACAACTTGCCTCTGGACATCAATGACGACTTCCACGTCTCATTGATGGAGCCGGTCCTTCACTTCACCATGGGTGGTATCGAGATCAACGACAAGGCCCAAGTCCTAAACAAGGACCAGAAGCCTTTCGATGGTCTATACGCTTGTGGTGAGTTGGCTGGTGGTGTCCACGGTGCGAACCGACTTGGCGGTTCCTCGCTTCTAGGCTGTGTCGTCTACGGCCGCGTTGCTGGAGACTCGGCCAGCAACTACTTGTTCCAGCAGGCTCTCTCAGGTTCCGCTGGAGCTGCTCAGCGTCTTGGACAGATCTCCTTACACATCGACCCGTCTCAACCGGGCAGGGTATCCGTCGAGTGGGGAAGTGGTGCTTCCGGCTCCTCGTCATCCGGAGGTGCTGGTCAAAAGACCAGTGCTACCGGCCCTACTCCGACTGCGGAGGGTGGCAAGTCATCCCAGCCCGCAGCAAAGGCTCAGAACGCAAAAGCATTTGAGGTGCCGGAGAAGGAGTTCACATTAGAAGAGGTAGCCAAGCACAACAAAAAGGAGGACCTCTGGGTTGTCGTCAAGGGTGTCGTCATGGACCTGACGAACTGGCTCGATGAGCACCCCGGCGGTCCCCAGGCCATCATGAACTTCATGGGCCGGGATGCGACAGAAGAATTTGAGATGTTACACGACGACGAAGTCATCCCCAAGTACGCACCTCAGCAAGTAATAGGGCGTGTTAAGGGACAGAAGATCACTCTCGAATTCTAAGCAAAAGAACAATCGGACGGCGCTTCGGGAATTGTTTTACATTTGCAAATAACATTTCGATTTTTAATCCTTACTCTTCCGCGTAATGAGATACGCGAGAGGCACCCAGATTTATTCGGCTGAATAGTAAAATTAGCTAGGCGGGGCGCTTCTTGTTGCATTAGGCCGATGGCCTGGCTGTATTGATAGTATAGGACTGCGTCAGATGTATTAGCATTTAGGAATATATCACTTGGATTATGTTGTTTAAGCTTTGATTTGCCTTTATTGATTCGACTATATGACTGTGTGTACTGATATGACATGCTTTATCATAAAATGATCAAGTCCTGATGCGTAAGAACTCGTCGGACAGGTTTACGGTAGTAGTGTCTGCAAGAGCATCTTCCCGGAGCTTAGTTATATAACCCCCCCCCCCCATCGCGGTCACCGTTTACATCGAACAAGGCCGTCAGGCATTCCCTTTGAAGATATTCTTTACCTACCCTACTGAAGAAGGCCGAGTTTCAATCTCGCAACATTACCAAACACATCATCTTGTTAGACACAACAATACTTGATGCCGCTTAAATCAACAACACGGTGAGAATAAGTCTTGGAGTGCCTCCCGATAAAATCCTACGGTCACTACGCCATACTGGACTGCTTCGTATGTACAGCCACCTAAGCACCCCCTTGTAGCTAATAGTCAATGATTATGGCACTTTGAAGTAGCCTCCTAAGAAGATTGATAGAGGGTAGCAAGTTTAACGAGGTTAAATCCTACGGTTTTATTAGCAATAGTGGGAATGAGACGAGGCGCAATAGAGAAGATTGCAAGGTCTTGAGGGTGTATTGGGGTTTATCCGGGCTTCTCGTATGGCTGTTATGTGCTTGGAACGTCTACACGGTGGCTTGTGATGTTGATATAAATTTCTAGTTATAATCGGATTCCTAGCTTCTCAAAATTCTCAAGACGTCCTGTTTCTACTCCTCAACCTGGTGGGCTGTTGCTTGGGACTAACTAACTAGAAATAAGAAGGTTATAGGCCCTTGTGGATGGAGCGACGGGCGGCTGCTGAGACTGTTCACGATATTTGTTACTTGTCTCCTAGCATGCATTCTAACCACAGACATTGACGCTCAGCTGTATCTAGTACTGTAGTTTACCAGAGCTAAGTTCACGTTGCCGGCAGCAATGTTTATATATACACTGGATATAAACTACGTCAAGACGTATAGGAGTTAGGGGAATAGACGATGTATCACATATACTCTTGGATTGGGATTGCTATATATGAGTGGAACTTAATGGCTCTAGCTAACATACCTCCTAGCTAACAGCAGTCTCGGGGTCTACGACGGGAAGAATCATAGTCATGCAGGTTGATTCACGGGCCACGTCTTATGCGAACTGATTAGGTGCGTCCAAAGTCTTTGTCTTGAGAAGTCTGAAGTATCTCTGACTACATTTGACACAAGAAGTCCCTTTAGATACTTTAGGTACTCAAGCATATTCGAGTAGCGATGGCCCTCCCCATCTTGAACGTAGGTAGCATCTTATAGCAGTAGCTATATTTCGTCTGATATCCCGCCGCTCAACGTAAAACAAAAGAGCATTCCGGCTAGCCTATGACCCAGCAATTTGCACGTGTGGTATTTTAGATAAGTGATATTGAATTCAACAATCCAGATTTAAGCGTAGGCATCGCGCTGGAGGTGTATAAAGTGGTTGGATGTTACGACTAACAGCGACTTAAGGTGACTCCCATGGAACGTTTCTTCCTACCGTCGTAGATGCAGGCGAGGGTAGATTTCACCCCGTCTGCCTTTCCCGCCCGATGTAAACCACCTTCAACGTACATATATTTCCTAACGTCACGAACCAACACGGCACCCTCCATGCTGACCTTTAGGGGGAGACGGTGGTTTCCTGGGCCGTAGGCATGCATCCGGCTGTTGATTAACGACCGTTGGCTCATTGTGACATTTAGTGCGGAAATCTTAGAATAAGCAAGCACGTATAATGTAGCGGTTGGTTCCATTTGTCTACTGTCTATACACCTCGAGTAGGCGGGCAGGCAGGCGGCGGTCCAAAGCGCGTAGGCATACAGGCCAACTACGGGATCCTCTTATACATACCTGAGCGGCATCGTCGATAGACCCTAGCTAATAAAGCTGATGAAGCTGTTCTGGATTCCACCTAGACTATATTGTCGTGGATGGTTTAGTAAGAATAAGGGGACCGCACCTGGACTCGCGATGCCTCTGCTCAGAGTACCCCCTTTCGAGACGAGAGAAGACATACTTTATCAAAGCGAGTACACGCGAGCCCTAAGTATTATACTTGTACTGCATAAATTGTCGTAGTTATAGAATACCATAGTTACCAGGCGTACCTCCGTATCGTGCACGCGGAGCACATGCCCCTATTCTCAGGGGGAGGCTCATACGTCCTGCTACTTCGCGATGGGTTTGGACATAGCTGCCAAAGTCTTCATCCATCGTAAATGCGCTATCGAAACCTTCTAACGAGGGCGCTACGCATGGCTTGGCGACTTTGGACGCCAGTGGGAAGGGTAACTTGGTCCTAGGAGGCACAGGCATAGTAAGCTTCGACTTTCTCCGAACGAGACGATGGTCGCGTCCTGGGCCAATAGCGATTGGGCGTTTGCAGGAGCCTGTGCAATGTAGGGACGTATGAGGTAGACTTCCATCCGCTCCCGCAGTGACGTACAGTGAAACCAAGAGCACCTCTGGTCTGGAACCTGGGGGTGTAGGAAGGAGGACGGGCAACATGAGATGGAATCCGACAAGATCCTACGCGCCCATCCTAAACATTTCGGGGATGTAGCGAGGAAATCGAATTTCCGAGGACTACACAGAATGCATTTTTTTTTATACGATGGGGGGTTGGGTTAAAAGTTTCTATGGCCTCGTAGCCTTATTCAACGCGGATAGGGGACTATGGTAACATTGAATATATTTCACTTCCCTTGCGTCAATATACGATCCTCGGCTGGGTACCATAGCGGCAAAGGGTGGTTTTAAAAAACGGTTCCTTAACGGAGTACCGTACCTCCTATATGCATTATTTATTAAAAAAGTAACGTTATTTCTCAAATAATCGTTACCCGGGCAACTACCGTTTTTCTTTTAAAAATTGTTTTTTTTTCAAAAATTGTTTTTTTTTTAAAAATTATTTTTTATTAAAAATTATTGTTATAATAAAAATTAAATTTATTAAAAAGATTATTTTAATTATATAAATTATTATTAAAATATTATAAATTTTTAATTTATTTTTATTAATATTATAATTAATAAATTTTTTATTTTATATAAATTATATTTAAATTATTAATTAAAATTAAATATAATTTAATTAATTTAATAATTGTGATTTTAATAATAAATAATTTATTAGTTAATTTTTATAAAATATTTAAATTAATAAGTTTATTATAAATATTAATATAATATAAAAGTATAATAATTATAAAAATATATTATTTAATATAAATATTAAATAAAAAAATATAATTAATATAAATAAAGTTATTTAAATTATAATATTAAATATAATTATTTTTA